GGACCCTTGTGGTGAACGGGGACCCTGCCAGGGGTTTATCCCGGTCATTCTTCTCTCCGACCTTCTTTTCCAGCCTTTCCAGCTTTGCCTCCATCTGCTGGACGCGGTCGTTTGGGATGGTTAACCGGTTCGCCACCGATAACCTGGGCTGGCTTTCTGCCTCCCCTTCCTGGTGGGAGGCCCTTGTCCTCGCTGGCTCCTGTCGGTCAGACTGGGAGCGCCGGGTGCGGGCAGGCTCGGCCTCCCGCACCTCGCCCAGCCGGGCGAACGCGCTGACATGGGCAACGCTCTGCCCCAGCCTTTGCTTGGCTGACTTCCTCTGGCCTTCCTCCCTATCCCCCAGCCTTTCGAAGGCGGAGTTTCGGGAGGTCGCTGGCCGGATGTTTTTCCCTTTCTTCTTCTTGTGGGCCCTCGGGATGTCCCACTCGCCGTCATCGCTCTCAATCGAGACGCAATGACCGTCAGGAGTGATCTGCGGATCCGTAGCTTGCGGGGGACGCGACGTCCCTGCAGCGTTAAGTGCACCAGCCAAGTTGACAGGGGCCATGGTGCTGACCAGCTGGGGCTGGAAAGGTGATGGTTGCGGCATTACCGCCATCGGAGCTTGTAGGGGCATGGTCCCCGCGCCTGGAAGGGCGAATGGGAACATACCAGGGAGGAAAGGCATCCCCCCGTTCTGCTGGCACATGGCCATGACCTGGCCAAAGCCCTGGATGGCTTGTAGGTTGGCTGGGTCATTCATGAACTGAGTCATGCTTGGTGGGAACGTTACCCTCGGTCCAGCGGAAGGGACGGGGGTCACAAAGGGACTGATCACGCTGGCCGTCGGGACAGAGCTCAGACCCAAAGGCAACACCGGGGCTGAAATGACCGGTATGGTAGCAGCCACAGGGATGCTGGCTCCCTCGTTGGTGGCCTGCACCTGAGCGGAAGTAGCGTTGATTTGTTGGCTGGAAGACATTTCGAGTGGTGTTTTGGTGGGTAGGTTTGTGTTTTAGGAGAAGAAACCTTAACGGTCCCACGGGTGGCGCCAAAAATGATGGTGTAATTACTTGACCGGTCAAACTATACTAGACCGGGTCTAGAATAGTTTACTTGATTTGGCAAAGTAAGAAAGGTAAAAACTCGTAGATTGACCGGGAGGACTTTAGGTGGAACACCTATAGCCCAATTTATATTATAACGGAGAATGCACGGGTGCTTTTACAAGGGAGTTCCGAGAGAAAGAATTCGGATCCCTCTTTCTGAGGTTTACATGAGTATTTATACTAGGCTAAGGGGACAGGACCACGCGCGCCCACGTGGGGGGATGCTGCTGATGTGGTGCGAGGTGACTGGTTTCGTCCTCGAGCTGCCTTGTCGCCGTGTGAGGGGGATCGTTCCCTTTGTCGAGTAGCGCCTTGGATGGATTCTTCAGCATCTCCAGTTGTCCTCTACTGACACGGGTCGCTACACGCCAAGCCCTCGCAGATCCTCTTCTGCCGACACTTTCCAACCTCAGAAACTACACCGGGTAATCTCCGAGAGGTGAATTCATCGAAGTCTGAAATAAATAGGATGATAACGTAGTTTGACCGATATACTTTTTCGTGAAGGGTACCGGTCAAATTTTGGCCGATGATATATCGTTTTGCTGACGATTTAAGTCTCCCTTCCAAAACTTTCGAGATTGACCGGTCAAATATTTGGCCTTCTCCTTTGACCGGTCTTGGGTGAAACACACCCATCAAAAGTAATTTTAAAAATTTAAATGAAAGTTTTGGGCAATTTTAAAATTTTAAGACTTCGTATAGTGTGTAAAATGTTAAAATCAACCACTCCGTATATATTTATTTTATTTCTTACCAGTTTTTATTTAATTTCTATTGATTATGTTATTTATTTGATTAATTTTGTATGGTTTTAGTTATTTTTTTCATTTTCATTATTTTTATATCTATTTTTTTCTTAGGTAAGAATAATCTTTAAAAAGGAAAAGAAATGGAGGTTGAAAGTAATTCAAAAAATTTAAAAAAAATTTTAAAAAAAAAACAAAACAAAAAATCATCAAAAATAATCATAGCTTTCATTTTGTTGCCTAAAACGGGCATTTCCGTTAACTCTCCGTTAGAAACTTAACGGCGATCCAAAACTGGTAAATTTCAATAAAGTTGAGATTATTATGCTTCACAGTGAAAGGTG